GGCTGGTCTTGAACTCCTGACCTCAGGTGATCCACCCACCTCGGCCTCCCAAAGTGCTGGGATTACAGGCGTGAGCCACCATGCCCAACCTTATTTGTTTGTTTATTTACTTATGTATTTATTTATTTATTTTTGAGATGGAGTCTTGCTCTGTCTGGCCCAGACTGGAGTGCAGTGGTGTAGTCTCGGCCCACAGAAGCCTCTGCCTCCCGGGTTCAAGCAATTCTCCTGTCTCAGCCTCCTGAGTAGATGGGACTACAGGCATGTGCTACCATACCCAGCTAATTTTGTATTTTTAGTAGAGAGGGTTTCACCATGTTGGCCAGGCTGGTCTCAAACTCCTGACTTCAGGTGATCCACCCACCTCGGCCTCCCAAAGTGCTGGGATTACAGGCATGAGTCACTGCTCCCAGCTGTGCCTTATATTTTTAACTAGTAACCTGAATAAATTCAGGGTGATTTTGAAAGCAGAGCTCACAGGATTTCCTGATAGTTTGGATGTGGGTGTATGAGAAAGAGAGGGGTCAAGGATGACTCCTGGGTTATTTACATGAGCAACTGGAATAGATTAGAGTTGCCCTCAGTGGATACCAGGAAGGCTGTAAATGGAGCTGGTTGGAGGGGATGGAGGCAGATGAAAAGATTACTTTTGGACATGTTAAACTTGAAATGTCAAACAGGTATTTGGACTGGTGCTATAAACCTGTAAGTCATTGGCATGTGGATGATAGTCAACATATGCCTATGAAACTGGACAAAAGTTTCATGATAATTAGGTATCAATAAGCAGGAAGGTAGCAAAAAACTAACTCTACCTATCTCACAATTTTGCCTTGTCCCAGGATTGCCCGTAGTCCAGTTCTTTTGACTCAAGCACCAAAACCAACTCTTAGAGGTTTTTTTTGTTTGTTTGTTCGGTTTGGTTTTCTTGAGGCAGTTTCCTGCTCTGTTGCCCTGGCTGAAGTGCAGTAGCATGACCATGGCTTACTGTAGCCTTGACCTCCCATGCTCAAGTGAAACTCCAAACTCAGCCTTCCAAGTAGCTTGGACTACAGGTGCACATCACTACACCTGGCTAATTTTTTACTTTTATTTTTGTAGACATGGAGTCTCACTGTGTTACCAGGGCTGGTGTTGAACTCCTGGGCTTAACCAGTCCTCCTGCCTTGGCCTCACAAAATGCTAAGATTATACTCATGAGATGCTGCACCCGGTCTCTCCTCAAGAGTTTTTTGGCTAAGCAATTAATATATCATATGTAAAGAGTAGGCATTCAATAATATTTCTTTTCCATTTATACATTTCATCATTTAAAGGGCAAGGCAGCCAGGAGTTGTGGCATGTGCCTTCAGTCTCAGCTATTTGGGAGGCTGATGAGAGAGGATCTCTTGAGCCCAGGAATTCAAGTCCAGCCTGGGCAACCCACCCCTGTCTCTAAAAAACAACAGCCAGGTGCAGTGGCTCAGGCCTGTAATCCCAGCTCTTTGGGAGACTGGGGCAGACGGATCACTTGAGTAGTTCGAGACCAGCCTGGCTAACATGACGAAACCCCATCTTTACTAAAAATACAAAAATTAACCAGGCGTGGTGGTGTGCGCCTGTAGTTCAAGCTTCTTGGGAGGCTGAGGCAGAGAAACACTTGAACCTAGGAGGCGGAGGTTGCAGTGAGCTGAGATCACACCACTGCACTCCAGCGTGGGTGACAGAGTGAGACTTCATCTCTGAATGAATAAATGAATGAATGAATGAATGAGTGAATGTGAATAACAACAATGACAAACCCAGAAACATATGGGCAAGACAGCTTAAATGTAGGATGTTTGCATTTAGCCATTTCACTCTCTAGTAGTGAAGGTATGGTGAAATTGTGACTGAATTACATTCACCTGCTTTACTAGAAACTGACAAGTAATTGGATTAATGAAGCGTAAGGCAAAATGTAGAGTAATATTAGCTCAGTGTGATAGTTGAAGGGAAAAAATTCAAATGATAACAAAAAACCAACCTACATTCCCCCTGGGCACTACGAAACAACATCTGTACCAGTGGTTCCTATGCTTTGGGACACATTGAAATTACCTGGGCATCTCTTTAAAATACTCCTATCTGGCTACTACTCCCAGACCTTCTGATTTATTTGGTATGGGAGGACCGTTGGCGTCACAGCTCTCCAGGTGGGCCTAATGTGCAGCAAAGTTTGAGAACTACCATGATGTATACTTTTTTTCCTAGTGGAACTACCAGTAATAGGCACAGTATTCAGAGTCCCTTCCAAAATTCTTTTTATTCTTTGCCAGTGCCAAAAAAAGAAGCAACATTGTTAAGGGAAGATCCTCAAGGCAGAGTAGAGTAAATTGGCGCCCTCTCTAAATTATGCAAATAAGTCACAATTGTAATTTATTTTAGATTCATGACAACTGTTCACCTGGCCACTTATTTATAGTATACGTGATCCCCAAATCGGAGGCAACTGTAATGTCATGGAGTGCATCAGAGTTGAAGTAAGAAGGCTTGCATTCAACTCCCAATTCTTCCACTTACTAACAGTTATGATGGCAATTCATTCAATCTTGCTGAAGTTCTCATTTTTTTCTCCCTGATATGAAAATAACCAGATCTGTTTTGCATGGTTGTAAATATCTTTAAAAGCTAAGGTATGTGAAGGTAAACTATAAAGTATGTAAAGATATTAAAGATTTATTATTTGAAAGGATTTTTCTTAACCTTAGAGGTGACTTAACTTTCTAGGTTTTTTTTTTTTTTTCTGTATTTTTTCATTGCCTTAAGAAGGAGATCTGCATATAGTAGATAATAAATGCAGTTGAACTTAACATGTGTAGTAGAGGAAGTATTATTTTGTATTTCTATACCATGTTTTAATCTGGGTAGAAACATAAGTTTTGTACTCATGCCTGGGTTCCAACACATGTGTTGCCACTTGTTAGCAAATTTCTCAATAGACATGTTCTAAGACTCAGGTTTGTTATCTTTTTGTATGGAGAATAGTACCTATCTTTCAGGGCTGTTATGACCCTCGCATATAGTGCCCTAAGCATAGTAGCTAGAATGGAGCATGCAGAAAATGCTAATTCCTTTCTTCTCTCCAAGAATATCATAATCTTGTGATAATACAGATGACCCTTGAACACCACAGGAGCTAGGGACCCTGCCCACGCACAATCAAAAATTCACATATAATTTTCGACTCATGAAGAATGTAACTACTAATTGTCTATTGTTAACTGGAAGCCTTACTAATAAGGTATGCAGTTGATTAATATGTATTTTGTATGTTATATTTGTTCTGTACTCTATTTTTACAATAAAGAAAGCCAGAGAAAGGAAAATGTTACCAAGAAAATCATAAATGAAACAGAATATATTTATTATTCATTAAGTGGAAGTAGATCATAAAGATCTTCATCCTCATTGTCTTCATGTTGAATAAACTAAGGAAGAGAAAGCAATGGAGTTGGTCTTTCTGTCTTAAGGGTGGCAGAGGCGGAAGAAATTCAAATATAAGTGGATCCTCTCAGTTCAAACCCGTGTTGTCTAAGAGTCAACTGTAATTTTTAAAGTCTGAGTAATAATTTTTAGTAGCTAAAAATTCTTAACTGTCATTCAAAAATTTTGTTTTGCTGATTTCTATGCCATTTAACGTTTTAAAAACTTTTTTATTGATGCATAATGGATGTATGTGGTGCTTCTGTCCCCCTACCCCCCACATGTTTTTTGGAGTTTTTCTCTGTTTTTTTGTTTGTTTTTTGGAGACAGAGTCTCGCTCTGTCACCCAGGCTGGAGTGCAGTAGTGCAGTCTCGGCTCACTGCAACCTCTGCCTCCTGGATTCAAGCAATTCTTCTGCCTCAGCCTCCCTAGTAGCTGGGAGTACAGGCGCACACCGTCACACCTGGCTAATTTTGTTTGTATTTTAGTAGAGACAGGGTTCCACCATGTTACCCAGGCTGGTCTCGAACTCCTGAGCTCAGTCAGTCTGCCCACCTCGGCCTCCCAAAGTGGTCGGATTACAGGCATGAGCCACCACATCTGGTCACAGATGGTTTTAAAAGCAGTGTTTATCTTTATACTTTTTCAGATAAGTTTATACCATGGATAGCATAAAGGAGAAGTGTGACAGTTACAAAGATGATCTTCTGCTTAGGATGGGACTTAATGATAATAAAGCAGGAATGGAAGGATTAGATAAAGAGAAAATTAACAAAATTATAATGGAAGCCACAAAGGTATGTTTCCTGTTTCTTTTGATATGTGTAATTTAATGACCTTTTAACCTTCTGTTTCAAAGAAAATCATTTGAATGTCATTTTTATTTAATATTTCAATATATATTATTTTTAAACTACAAAAGAGTATGGAATAATCTCCCTTCTATTCTGTTGCTCCTACCATCCAGGTTTCTATTTCACATGCATATAATAGGCATATAAAGCCAAAATAATGTACATGTTCCTCTTCACCTTTCTTTTGTTTAACCCCAATGGGAGAAATTGTTTTGGTGTTTGGATTTTTTTTTTTCAGTTAATATAACTTGGAGCTCTTTCTGTATAGGTAATTAAAGATCTTCATTCTTTGTATGCCTGTGTGTGTGGATATAATGTAATTTATTGAACCAGCCAAAAAGTTTATAGATAAATATATGTTATTTGTAGTCTTTTATTTTTACAAACATTACTAGTAAAGTAGGGAATAACCTTGTATTTTATAACTTTCTATATGTGCAAGTATAACTGTAGAAGAGATTCCTACAAGTGGAATTGTTTCACCAACTACACATAGCACAAAAGAATATATGCATGTGTGATTTTTATGAATTGCCAAATTACCCTCCATGGTGTTTCTGTCAATTCACACTTCCACCACAAATATGTGTGTATTACCGTACTGAAACTGTGCTAACACAGTGTATTACTAAACTTTTGTATTTGTCACTCTGAGGTAATACAGTATAGCATTAATTTGTATTCCTTTTATGAAAAATTAGTTGCATATCTTTTCTTTTTTTTTTGAGACAGGGTCTCACTCTGTCACCCAGGCTGGAGTCCAGTAGCACAATAATAACTCATTACAGCCTCACCCTCGTGGACTCAAGTGGTCCTCTCACCTCAGCCTTTGAAGAGCTAAGACAATAGGCACATGCCACTAAGTCTGGCTAACTTTTTATTTTTTGTTGACATGAGGTCTCACTATGTTGCCCAGGCTAGTCTTGAACTCCTGGCCTCAAGCAATCCCTCTATCTTAGCCTCCCAAAGTGCTGGGATTATAGGCATGAGCTACCATGCCTGGCGGTCTTTTGATATTTTAAAAATTACTTGTATTTCATTTTTTATGAACTCTGATTATATATTCTATATACATATGCACATTCAATAATTAGTTATCTTTTGACTTTGCTTATGGTAGTTTCTCCTGTTCAGAAATTTTTTGTTTGCTCCATTTTATGTAGTTGAATGTCAACTACATATGGCTTTAAGGTCATAAAAGAATTCTTTAATTTTTTTACCACTTTTTTGTTTCATTTATATATCATATGAATATATATGTATTAATGTGTTATGTGTATTATCAATGTATATCAATATTAATGTACATTAATAATATATACATAATATATAATGTGTACTAGTATGTTGTATATGTTATGTACATTAATAAACACAATACATGTATTAATATACATGTAGAAAGATGTAAACTTTAAGAGAATATCCTTATTCTTAGGAAATGCATGGTGATGTCCACAGCAACTTACTTTAACATGGTTTAGCCAAAAGGAGGGGAAAGGGGTGTGTGTGTGTGTATGTGTGCGTGTGTGTGTGTATACACTCATGCACACATACATACTTGGAAGTTGGGGAAGAAATCAAATGTAGCAGGATATTAATTGATGAATCTAGGTCAGGGTATATAGGTGTTCATTGTACTATTTTTTCAGCTTTTGCAGTTTTGAAAATTCCAAGATAAAAAGTTAAGGAATTACCATTAATTTTGTTAGCTATGAAAATGTTACTGTGATGAAGTGGGAAAATGGCCTTATTTTTAAATGCATACCGAAATCCTCTGTGGAATGGCTAAGTATCTTGATATTTATAATTTAAAATGTTTCACTTGTAATGAAGCATATACAGTAAAATGTTAACAGCTGTTAAATCTGAGTAATAGTTTTATACGTGTTTATTGTATTCATGTTTTTTCTGCGTTTGAGACTTTTTTGATATTTTCATCATAAAAATGTTCAAAAAGAAGAAAAAGAATAAAACCTATGAATCTAGTTTTTAGGTTAAGAAATAGAATATGTAGGTTACCCTAGATGTCCCTTTCTGATCCTCCCTCTCTGTTCTCTGCATCCCAGTACAATTTATTAAATAGTCCATCCTTTTCCTACTGATCTGCTGTGCTTTCTCTTCTGTTCCACTGGATCATTTGCCTATGTTTGCATGTATACAGCATTTTTTTATTATCATGCTTTATAATAAGCCTTGATATCTGCTAGCACAATTTCTTTTTTTTACACTTTGTTCTTTTTCAAGAATATCTTGAGTATTCTTGAAGCTTTGCTTTCATATAAATTTTATGTGATATATATCAAAAATATATAGGTACATATATAATTGGCACATATCACATGATTGCTATCTAAAAATACATAGAATAATATATATTCCTCTAGCATATGAGGTGAGTTTATGATAAATGGTATCTTGGTTAAATTGGAATTTTCTAATTGTTACTATTCCATAGCAATACAATTTACTTTTTTAAACCTCTTATCAGAAAATTTAAAATATATAGAAAATTAGAGAATAGTAAAGTAAATCCCCATATAATCATCACCCAGCATCAACAATTACCAACATTCTTGCAAATATAGTTTTATCTATCTTACCCTTCCCCTGCTGATTTTTGGAGGGAGGAGTAGAGTATTTTAAAACAAATTCCAATAAATTTGATGCATTTCTAGAAGTTTACAATTTTCAAAATGGACTCAAGAAGATACAGATAATCTAAATAGATCTATATAATAAGGAAATAAATTAGTAATTAAAAATCTCCCCATCAATGAAAAAAGACCAGGCCATTTGGCTTCTCTGGTGAATTTTATCAAATATTTAAAGACGAAATGATACCAATATGCCATAAGCTTTTCTAGACAATAGAGAAGGATGGAACACTTCCCAACTCCTATGAGGCCAGTATCACCCTGATACCAAAGCCAAACACAAGGTTATACATCATTATGAATGCGAAAGTCCTCAACAAAATATTAGAGGATTGATTTAAACAATCTATCAAAAAGATTATGCACCATAACCAAATGGCATTTATCTTAGGAAAGCAAGGTTGGTTTAAGATCTAAAAATCGGCCAAGCTCATGCCTATGACCCCAGCGCTTTGGGAGGCTGATGTGGGTGGATCACCTGAGGTCAGGAGTTCAAGACCAGCGTGACCAATATGGTGAAACCACATCTCTACTAAAAATAAAAAAATAAGCCAGGCATGGTGGCGTATGCCTGTAGTCCCAGCTACTCAGGAGGCTGAGACAGGAGAATTGCTTGAATCCGGGAGGTGGAGGTTGCAGTGAGCCAAGATCATGCCACTGTACTCCAGCCTGGGCAACAGAGCAAGACTCCTTCTCGGAAAAAGGAAAAAAAAAAAAAGAGATCTGAAAATCAATTAATGTAATACATCATATTAAAATAAAGGGCACAAAACCACACAATCATCTTAGTAGACTCAGAAAAAGCATATTTGATAAAATCCCACCACTATTCATGCTAAAAGCTCTTAACAAACTTGAAATAGAAGGGTACTTCCTCAATCTAGTAAAGGACATCTATTTTAAAAAAAACCAACAGTAAACATCATACTTTATGGTGGAAGACTGAACACTTTCTCCCTAAAATTAGGAACAAGGCAAGAATGTCCCCTCTCACCTTTTCAACTCAACCTAGTCCTAACAGTTCTACACCAGTGCAGTGAGACAATAAAAATAAATAAAAAGGCCAGGTGCAGTGACTCACACCTGTAATCCCAGCACTTTGGTAGTCCGAGATAGGAGGATCACTTGAGCCCAGGAGTTTGAGACCAGCCTGGGCAACATAGTGAGACCCTGTCTTTAAAAACAAAACAAGGGGGCAGAGCAAGATGGCCGAATAGGAACAGCTCCAGTCTCCAGCTCCCAGCGCGAGCGACACAGGAGACAGGTGATTTCGGCATTTTCAACCGAGGTACTGGGTTCATCTCACTAGGGATTGCCGGACAATGGGTGTAGGTCAGCTGCTGCAGCCCGACCAGCGAGAGCTGAAGCAGGGCGAGGCATTGCCTCACCTGGGAAGCGCAAGGGGGAAGGGAATC